GAGAGAGAGAGAGAGAATATTGTGGCTTGCCTATACCATACTTGCCAACATAAACCAGCAGCTATTAGTCAGAATCGTTTTTACAAAGGTGAAAAGTATTAGAGATAAAAATAGCTAAAACTTGTCATTCAGAGAATATCTCAATATATTTTGCGTATTTATAACATATTATGTTCTTTCGTAAGAGTTTAGTGAAAATAAAAATATATATGTATGTATATACACATGTATACAGGTTGGTTTCTATATAATTCTGACTTACAGCAAAATTTTCTCTAAGCGCACGCAATGCAAAAATGCATTTATCTCTAATGCGCAGAAACAAATGCATATTATTAATTCACGAATATACAGGTTGTGGCATGTGCGTTTCCGAATATTACTGATGGCCTTTAATACCTAATATTATGTAAATTACAAAAATTGCATAGTATTATGCAATTACATAGTAGCAAATAAACCATAGTATGCAAATAAACAGAAAAAATCCATTGCCAACATTTCATTAAAATTATCGTTTTTGGAAGTAAAGTTTTTTTTCTTTAGAGAAATCTATAATGTTAAAAAAATATATATATATATATTCTCCAAAATATCATATATTGCTTTGTAAACAAAAAAGATGTAAATTTCCTGTTTTCTTCTCTCACATACATAAATAATATTAAATATATATTGTAAAGAAAATAAGAAATTATGTAAAGTAATATTTATGAAACAATCAGTAATTTACGGATCTTAAGCGTCAAATACATATAAGAAGATATTTCGCAGCACAATTCACATCAATTTACAAGGAAATATATGTAATGCACTCACACAATTATCGTATTGCTAATATTACAATGGTACTGGATAATTTTGCTTTTTTAAATTCAATATGTAAAATTTTTATAATAAATGATTTATTCAAACTTAACGCTGAATATTCAATTGTATTTTGACAACAAAATAAAAAATTCACCGTACATTGTAACTACAAACATCTTAACTTTATGATTACAATGCCGAAAAAAATATTTTCCTTGTAAAAAGATAAAGTTATATAACAAAAAATAAGATGACATTCACTTACCAATACTCAAGACACTTTTGCTCTGAAATACAAGTATAGGTAATAAATTATAATGTTTTTGAGAAAAGTCAACAACAGCATTGTCTATAACACAGTGGACATACAATTTTAAATTTTAATTCAAACACTGTTATATTGTAAAATAAATATTATTGTAAATATTATTGAGAAAAACTAATTTTTATAAGATAATTGTTTGCATATAAAATTGTTAATATAGTATACAACAAGAGTATATATTTTTATCTGTGTATAAGAGTATATATATTTAAAATTATAAAGCCTATAGTACCATTGAATTTTTCCTTTGTGCGTGCATATTTTCCTTGTACCAGCATACTAGCATTTCAAATTGACTTTCTTTATATTTTATAAAAATAATAACACTGTTTATAAAATTCTTATTTTGATTCATATATAGTTTTAATATCCGACAAGATTTAACAAATATTATTTGTAATACAAATATTATTTGTATACAAACTGGTATATGTACATAATATAATGTAAAGCAAATCATTTGATTAAACGTTTAATAAAAGATTAGAGGAGATTACGTTAATTTTGTAATAAAACTTATAAATTTGTATATAATGCAACATAAATATACTTGGATCTTTTTTAAAAACTTTTTTAGTTTCGCGTTTTCTTTCTTTCATGAAAGACGGGCTGTTTCTTTCTTAGAATATATTTCATATTATGTAGTTTCTAATATTGTCAGATATTTTGTATATGAATCAAATGCCACTTACCCAGCCATTTCACGTAACTATTGAGGAGGCATACTATTCCCCTCATATCCCATACGTATGCGTACAGATCGTACAGCAATTCGCGATTGTTACAATATGTGAGCCTTTGGAATAATCTATTTACCGCATTACACATGTCATTTAGTTTGGCTGCACGAAGATGCCATTCTTCAATCTGAGGGCATTTCAATCAGATATATGCAAAAAAACATTAAGTTTGTATAAATCAATAACTTTATTCGCAATTCGTAACTCACGTCTGATTCAGATGCTGCTTCTTCCTCCTTAGACTTTTTCATAACAGCATGAGCATTGCTCTTCAACCAATTGAATTCTTGCAACAGTTGAATTCCTTGACCACCGTGCTCAAACGGTAAGTAGAATAGATCACACAATAGCGACAGATCTTCGTACGTAAGTTGTTTGTCAATATCTACAGGTTCTTGAGATGTCGTGTCCGCATTATCAGAACTCTCATGATTTTCACTATCGTTTTCTATTATCATTTGCGTACCGTTGGCCGTGGGGGAAGTACCATCCATTTCCACCTGCATACTTCCAGAAGCTTCGCTGCACGTCTAACAGAGAAAAACACGAGTATATATGCATAATTAGACTTTCAAAAATTTTTAATGACTTACAGAAGTATTATCTACCATAGCGTCATCTTCCGTTGGAATTTTCGCTATGTGCGCTGGCGAGTTGTTTGGAGTTGTATTGCAGTCCATAGGTTCTATAGAAGATAATCCTGTTGACGGCGGTTCACCACTCATATTAGTAGACAATGTAGTCAAAACAGGCTCGCTGACCACCTTTATATCTGATACTAGCGAGTTCATCACAGGTCCAGACGGAGGTTGCGCGAAACTATCACTGCTACTTGTTACAGTTGAACAAACTTCGGCCAACGCTTGAAGATGAGAATTCGTTCCAGCCGTAGATGTGGCAGAAACTGTGGTTGTTGTCGTTGATGTGAGACTCATGCACGTGTTCACAGAGGGAATTATTGGAATAGGTATCGTAGGCGCGACACACGGTTGTGGTTTGACTATTACTCCCCAAGCTGCCTTCTTCTTGTCAAATTCTACTAGCCATTCGCTTATTGCATGCTTCAAAGCGTGTCGAGGATGATACATATTTGGCGATAACGTCGACGGAACATCTTCACCAAGAACGCCATCTTCTGTTTCAGTTTCTAATTTAATATCCGCTGATACAGTGTCATCTACAATTGCACAATAGTTCTCATCAGTTTTCTTATCACTTCTGTATTTTTATTATTAACGCTAAACTATTAAATTATTATTACATATTAGTCAGCTGTCCTTATTTTTATGCACCATTTAATTCTGTATAACGTATATGTATAATAACCATTTAGAAGATGTGAGATTCGACAAGATTATCGATGCATAAGTCATATCAGAAAGAAAGAGAAAGCAAAAGGAAAAAGACTCAAATTCAATTTTCGGTCTAATTATCTTCGAGCAACATTTCTCTCATTCTCGCGAGAAAAAGAAAAATTTATAAGGTAGAATATAAAGAGAAAAAACATACTTAAACTTAGATCTCTCTTCCCGTCGACATTGCATCTGCTCCATTGAGCCAACGTATGAATTGCTATAAAATTTGCTCCATATTCACAATTTGGATTGGTCAACACTCCTCTTAGCTTAGGTATAAGATCAGGAGAACGGCCAGAATATGGTCCGAGAAATACTCTCTTCTGGTCATAATCATTAGCATGTAAATTATCCCAAATAACTGGTGGTCTTCTGAGCACTTCTGTGATTTCTTGGATAGATTCTACAGTTAAAAGCCTCGATATGACTTTAGGACCAGTCCACATTATATCAATTTCTTGAGCCAATTTACTTCCAAGAGTGTTGAGGTATTCTGAAGATGCGACATTTGGCATTGCACGTGTTGCGCAATATTGCGTGGGACATAAAAGGAAACGAGGTTGACCGAGATGTTGAAAAATATCGTTTGTGACAGAAACCTATAAATAATAAAAAAGAATAGTAAAAATTGTAATGCGTAATTTAAATATGTTATTAAATGTCGAAAATATACTAATGTACAAAATTGTCAATTTACTAACACTAAATTTACTAAGCTTATAAACTGCATCAATATTGCATACATACTTGAGCATGTGCAAACGATTGAAACACTTCTTTATCAGCTTCACTCATTTCTGGTTCTATATCATCGAATAACAATGCAAATGCTGTACAGCCAAACTGACTGACTTGCTCCAATTTTCTCTTCAAAGCAGTGACTTCCTTCGAACTAGAATATGTAATGTCCAATCCTGGAGATAATGCGTAGTAAAATGTTATTCCATATTCCCTAGCTGCTGTGATTAGACCAGTCAGATGCTCCGCCTCTTCCACTGTATATAGATCCCTCCAATAAGCACGATGTTTATAATCGTCTTTTGGGGCATACAAATAAGAATCCATTCCCCATTTTTTCAATCTAATAATATGCACAGTTCAATTAATAGGATGATTTATTATCAACATAATATATAGGTGCCATTGAAGCACACTCACAGGAGAACAAGTTAATGTGCATTCAGTATAAAAAAAAATAATATAAAATTTGTTACAAAGTATTAGGATAGTATTTTTATTAGTCCTTTTTAACCACTGACTACTGTTAATAAAAATAAAGCACAATTAACAGTGTTACAATCAAGAATTTGCTAATAAATATATACAAATTTGTTTTAACATCTACTCGACAACAATTAATATTTTATTAATTCGTTTCTAATACACAATCATATTTCTGATATGAGCTTACTTTTGAAAGAGATCCTTCCGTTGTTCGGTGGTCCATGGTCGGCCGTAAAAACCTGCAAAGAAAAAAAATATGTGACAAGTCTGACAAATAATACAAATAAAACAGGAAAGGTGCATTCACCATTTGAGTCCGCTATCATAACCGTAAATATTCACGTAAAAATCAGAGTGATACCGGATTGTCTGCGACATGTCCACCACGTACCTTCCACCACGCCACAGATGAAATTGCCGTTTTTTGTATTCAAATTCGCGGCCCCATTCGTCTCCGCCATTGCGGATCGCTAGAGCACGTTTGTTTGCGATCTAAAAGCTAGAAAAATGGCTTGGGATGTTTTGTAATTCGCAGAAAAGAGTGGTGAAAGAGCCCACAGGCTCACAATGTCGCGGTCCGACGAGGTCGATATTAGCATACGACTAGCATACGTTGTTATGTGTACATCAAGTGACACGGAAATTACATTGACATCACTCGCGTATTATTGCATGCATCGCATGTTACTGAGATTCCGAGAAAGTATATAGGAACGTGCATAAAAGCTTGTAAATCTGACAGATTACACCTGATGCGCACTCTGATCGATATTTCGATCCATCGAGAGTCGAGACCACGAATACGACGAGAGTAGACGGCATGTAGCGATCTTTCACACACCGCGACAACACCTGACAGCTGCGGAAAGAACCTTTTCATGAGTATCGAGATGGTAAAATCTTTTTTAGCATATATACCCTAATATTCAGAATAAAATGCTTCTGGATCAACTATGTCGTATTTAAATATTCATATATCATAATGAAATACACTATTGTTTAATTTATATAACTTGTAAATTAACTCTTATTTATCTTATGTTTAACTTTTCGCACATGTTAAATAATCACATGTCACTCGACCACAGCTGTCGAATATCAGACTCCAGTTGTATTTAACAGAATAGTGATAAATCTACAAGTATGCACCAATCACAGTAATCATATATGAACACAGCTGTGCTTTTGTAATACAATCAAATGCCACAAGATGTCACTTCAAGTACCATCTTTCACTTTCAGACTTGTCACGCGATAATCGATAGAGTCGTGTGTTTTCCAAATATAACGCGAAGCAATTACATTATTGCGCTCATTCGTGTAACGTGTATTTGCAAAAATAATTATCACTCGTACTTGATGCAGGACTTGTTGAGAGCGTTATAGAAGCAGAAATAGAATCAAGTAGACTGCTTACCTTACACACTATTGCAAATGAAAGTATTATTATATCTCTGCATCTCGATAATTCTAGTTTTGGCGAATGTTACATATTTCGATATAAGCGGCAATATTATCTTATGACATATCTTAAAAGGTTGATATAAAAAATTCACATTTACTCTAATATCAAACAAGAGCAAGTAAAATGTCACCAAAAGCATGAGCGTTGCAATAAAAAAAATTGTTTATTATATTTGATAAAATATGTAATAAAATATAAAAATATTATTGATAATTACAATTTCATATTTGTTATTATCAAAAAATTAAAAAAAAGTTTTAAAAAAATAAAAGCGAATGATGATAACACGAATAACTTGTGAAAATCTTGTTTATATTAAAACTTAAGAGTTTTAAGTATGTTTCAGAAAATATTAGTTTTATTGTTAATAGTCGAGAGACATCAAAGTTTACAATCGCATTTTTTAACAAAATGAGAACAGAGTATAAGCGCAAATTTACGATCACTCTATATTTTCCGTGAGTAGTTACAATGTCGCATTCGTCAGGCAGACAATGATCGACGTCGCTCGATAGAGAACATTCCTTTTCTTCTCCTCCCTCCCTCTCTCTCTTATTATCAGTAAGCTTTGAGACGTAGGACATGAGATACATGTCGCATTTGAATCAGAGCAGTGTAAATGTTGCTAATTAAATTAGATTATGGTATTGTGGTATTTAATATAGTTGGCCTTTGAAAATATTATTCGTATACATGTTCAAAAAATCTGTGTGTGTGTGTGACAAATTTATATATAAATCTATGATAAAAAATTGATTACAAGCATCTTTTGATTAAATGTTTTAGATATTTTTTTATATTGAAGCTATGAAAGAATTTTCAACTTTTATCAATGTGCTTCTTGAGTTATTTTATTAATTTAGAGAATGCAATAAAATGTGTATGCTTATTATCGTTAAATAAGTTTATTATTTGGAGCAAGAAATATAAATATTTAGTTTACTATGGTATGTTAATTTAAATATCTTCTAAACATAGATATATTTTATTATCAAATCTGGTTAAAATAGTAGGCGTAAAAAAAATAAGATTACATTAATGATTTCAGACAGATAGGATTAAATGCACGATAACTGGTTGTATTTTTAAACTAATTAGTTAAATAAAGTGTATATGTGATATAAATTTTCTCGGCAGCAAAAGAAAGGAAACAATACTTAAAATAAAAGATACATTTATATATTATATTCCATCAATAAAACCCGTATATTGCACGTTATATACAAAAATTGATTTTTTTATTGTTCTGCATTGATGAAAATCTTGATCCTTGATTTTTTAATATAACAAAGATCTATTTACTATACCAACCCATCAGATTACAGCCAACTTAAAAATAAGCATATTTCTCATAAAAGTTATTCTTGCGAATTACTTGTCTTCAAATCTAAATAAAAAGAAATAAATAGAAGTATAGAATTTTATTTTTCAAGCATTTTATACAAGTTGCTTTTGTTATATCAATAGTACACTTCCGCGGATAGAAAAAATTAACTTAATAATATTAAACACTGCAAAAAAATTAAAAAATGTTAGGAACAGAATAATTTCTTGCACCAAAAATCATGTTTTGAATCGCTTCCAGGTAGCGTCACGATGTGGCGCCCGAGTCAGGACGAGAGGGTGGCGATTTTTTGCTTCGGAGCGGCGCGATGGGTGACTAGAGAGGAGCGGAGAATGCACGGGCCAAGCCGCTGCCGTTGTCAACGGCGCGTAGCCATATCGATGAAGCAGTGCGAGGCCGGCTATCAGCCGCCTAACATCGACGTGTTGGGGTTACTCTTACATATGTAACACGGCTGCTGCAGAGACGCGCGCGCGTGCACACACACACACACACACACACAAATATGCACCTTCCTCCCACACACATACATACACATATTTAGATAAACAGATGGATGGATGGATGGATAGATAGATAGATAGATAGATAGATAGATAGATAGATAGATAGATAGATAGATAGATAGATAGATAGATAGATAGATAGATAGATAGATAGATAGAGTAAGATAGATAGATAGATAGATAGATAGATAGATAAATAGATAGATAGATAGATAGATAGATAGATACATAGATAGATAGATAGATAGATAGATAGATAGATAGACGACAGACAGACAGACAGACAGACAGACAGACGGACGGACGGACGGACGGACAGACAGACAGACAAACAGACACATACAATAGTGCACGCTCTCCTATGTACGGAGAGTATCACTGTGTATCTCATATTCTGTCGAGTTCAC